CGCGCGCACCCCCCCGCGCCTGCCTGACACGGCAGCAGGACGGGGGCACCGGGCGCTCGGCAGCCGTGCAGCGGCCCGATCTGCTGGCTCCTCGCTGATTTTAGGCAAATCTGAGCTCACCGGGCTGCGGTGGGTAAGGAGGCAGCTCAGCCTCCCCCTCCCAGGTGGGACCCTGGGCTCTCCCAGGGACAGTGTGAACCCCAGCCTGGGAACAGTCTCCACGGCACCGAGCTGCACGTGCCACCTCCAAGAAACACACAAATCAAGGACGTTGTTCCCATTCCTGCTGCTTTAGGGATGAAAAACCCTTCCCAGAGCAAGCCCTCAGCCTCTGCAGGACATAGCCTGGACACGACGGCTACGGTCCCCCTGCTTGTGGCCCCTAAAGAGCTGGAAACCTTTGGAGACCCGCGCCGAGGCCCTGGCAGTCAGGGACGTCCTGTTCTTCCAGAAAGGGCCAAAGTGCAGCCTGGCCTCTCCTAGAGCCCTCTGCCCAGCTACGGGAGAGCCCTGGCTAACGGTTCCTGTGGGAAACCCACTCCCAGGAACCCCGGAAGGTGCGAGGTGCCGGAGGACGCAGCTCACACGTCGCTGTGCCCGGCCGGGATCGGCTGCAACGGCTCGAGAGGGGCCCCCGCCTGCGGCACGGGCAGCAGCTCTGGTCTCAGCACGCGCATGCAGGGGGTCTGCAGCCCCATCGGACTCCCACCCAGGGTCAACATGAGGCTGAAGGAGCAGGAGGAGGTCACGCAGGACATCTCTGGCTCCTTCCGGCACAAGGACACTGCGCAAAGCGCGGGCAATGGCGCCGGGGGCACCGAGAGCTCTCCAGGACTCGCCCTGCTAAAGGGTAAACTCGCAGCTGGGATTGGAAACTGGCATCAAAGCCACACGAGCAGGCCAACGCTGCTTCCCTCGAGCACGCTGCTCTGCCTCCCTGCAAAAGCATCACACACACTCACAGCAAGACCTTTGCTGCGTCCCAGGCGTCTGGGGGGAGACGCTTCAGGGGACATTTTGACCTCCTCCCGCTGTGTTCATACACCCCCGTCACAAGTTCTTCCCCCCACGAGGTCCCACCTCAGCCCGGGCTCTGGCAGTGCCAAAACGACAGTTAACAGGATAGTTTTTGGAGGAAAAAGCGAGATGCCTGGCAGTCGGGATCCCAGCTGCCCGGGGACTGGATGAATCCTGCTGTACACATCACAAAGCCCTCCCTGCACCGTACCCCCCCACAGAAGGGAAAAAACTTCACCATTCACAAACCGTAACTTGGCTATTAGAGTTTTTCAAGGCTCCCTTGCCTCTTCTCTAGCCACGCGTCCCCTTGTCCTGCTGCCTGGGACAGACCCTGCCTGAATGCCGAATCCAGGCTGACACCACCCAGCTCTGACGCCCTCGAGGCCCCACTGAAAATCCTCCCACCCATCCGCTGGGAAATGGCAGCTACCGAGAAAGAAGGAGTAACGTGAACAGGGCCACCGAGCAGCGTGCTCTGCTAGCCAGGCCAGGCATCACCCCGCGCCGTGCCCCACTCCGGCTCAGAGCACGGAGCTTTCCCACGGGTGTTTTGCCCGGACAGGCCGTCCCCAGGATTCAGACGGGCTCCGGAGGAGCACGGGGCTCCCAAGAGCTCCTCTGCGACACAGAAGGGCAGGAGACGAGGCAGGCTGGGGATCCCAGGAGGGCAGAGGGGGTGCTCAGAGCCTCACCTTGGGCCGCCGGACGGTGGTCTGGAGGGCACCGGGAGCGGAAGGCAGAGGAGAAGAGACACTCACACAGGGACAGACAGGAGCAGAGGGACAGACCGCAGCAGCAGATGCAGCAGCAGATGCAGCAGAGAACAGGGTAAAGGAAACAAAAAGACATGAGGGCAGTTAGTGTGCGCAGTGGCAGCAGGTGGAGGAGCTCAGCCCGCGCCCCCGGGCAGAACCCTGCTCCCGGCGGGAAGGTGGAACTGGGGCCGCTCGCCCGCCGAGCTCCAGCCCCGCTGATCCCCGCGGCGGGAGCCGAGCACACCCCCCCGGGGCAGACACCCCTTTTATTTCTGAGAGATCTTGAGCTTCAAAGGCAAAACCTGGGCTGCCCCGGGTCAGGCTGGGAGCCACTGCGGCCCGGGGCAGAGTCGCCCCACAATGAGCGGGTTTATGTCAGCACACCCTCCCGGGAGGTCGCTCCGGTGTGAGGTTGAGAGGGGGGTATTTAAAAAAATATATATCTTTTTTCCCCTCCCCTCGGCCCTTTGGTTCTCTGAAGGGCCCAGAGCGTCACCAAACCAGCTGCCCACAGACATGCTGCAGCCCCCGGGCTCTCATTTCCCTTGAGTCATAAAACTCGCAGGGACAACATGGAGCTTCTTCCCAAGCACTCCCATATTTTCATTTCTGGAAATAAATGTGCCCATTGGTTTCAAGACAGGACCCTCCACCCCCCACCCT